CTTTCTTCTACAGCAGATGGGAACAAACAGAGACCCACAGACAGGCATTATGGAGAGAGACCATGTAACCCTTAAGCCTAAAAGGGTGTCAAATCTTTCCCCTAAGGGCCCCAGAAACCCCTCAGAAGAGGAGTTGGAAAGATTGTTAGAGCCAGAAAGAATGAAGGACGCCAAGGAAACAAGACCTTTAAGTCAACATGGCCAACTTACATGCGAACTCAAAGTCACTGAGGCAGCATGCACAGGGCTGCCCAGGTCTGCGCCAGATGTGGTCTGACAGCTGAAAGGAGAAGTGCACTCATGTCCCTATACCTAACCCTCTGTCTCCAATGGATAGCCATTTGAAAATGTAAATTGAGTTCCATCCAAGGGAGTCTCACTGGGGAAACAAACTACTCCGAAGGGTAGGCTTCTTGCCCAGCAGTAGATGGCCAACAGAAATGAACTCTGACATCCCTGGAGGACCCCTGTCTAATGGCAAACTCTCCTCCCAGTTTTATCTTATTTTTAAAACTTTTATTTACATATATATCTTTCTGCTCTCTTTTTTACCCTACAGGTCCTTTGAATATGTATTATAGCTTCCAGTTTGGTGTTTTTATGAGATTCCTGATGGTGTGAACCAGTGGGAGCCTTTCTTCTATGTCTTCTCTTGGGCTTTTTTTTCTTCTGTTTGTTTTTTGTTTTATCCAATTCTGACGTGTTAGTTTTTGTTTTATCTTATTATATTTGATATTATCCCTTAGAATCCCGTTTGTTCTCTAATGAGAGATGACGAGGTAGAACCAGATGGGAGGGAGTAGGAAGGATCTGGGAGGAGCTGAGGGAGGGGAGAGCATAATGAGGATATATTATTTGAGGAAAAAAGATCCATTTTCGATAAAAGGAAAACACAAAAATATTTTTAAAAAGATCAATTTTATGTAGCCTAGGATGGCCTTGAACTAACAGAGATCCCCTGCCTGTCTCCCGAGTGCTGGGATTAAAGGTGTGTGACACCACTGCCTGGCCTCTGATCCTCAGGCAAGCTTTGTGACAAAATATCACACTTATACACATACAACAAATCAATCTAAAGATGTTTTAATAAAAAACAAACGTGGAATAGAAAGCATTGTTGCATCGCTAAATGTTATTTTCTTAAAGAACATTTATTTTTACTTAGATGTATCTGTCTGTGTATCACATGGTACCAAACTACAGCTTCTCTCCATGACTCCTTTAAACCTAGTGTTTCCACTATAGCTGAGGCTTCACCTTCACCAATGGCCTCTCTTGGCCTCTCACAGTGCCATGACCCCTTCAGTCCTGTAACTCTCAGGCGGATGAGCCAGGCCCATCTGGAAGACACACATTGCCAAAATCAGATGCCAGTTTGAGTGGGATACTTAGTCCCCATGGACCACAGTTTCTGTGCGTGGACGCTGAGGAAGTGCTTCCCTGCAGTATTTCATGGTGTCATGTGCATCATCACCTGGATGGTATTGGTCACAGCGATTTTTTCAGCCCCAGTTAATGTTACAGCATCGATTGTTCTGGTGAAAATTGTCCTTTGATAGAGTCTTCATTCAAAGTATGACATGAATGGCCCTGCTAAGTCTTTGCTTCGGAAACCTCACACGCAGGCCCTCCACTGTCTGTGCCTTTACCAGTTTTCTTATCTTGGAATCTCCTATAACAGTTTACCAAGCTCTGGGTACTCACCAATGATTTCTAGTCCAAATTTCTTCTTTAACCTTCCTAAAACCATGGGTCAGGTTAGTTATAGAAATACCCCACGTTCCCGGTACTAATTTCTCATCTAACTTCCTAAAACCATGGGTCAGGTTAATTATAGAAATACCCCACGTTCCCGGTACTAATTTCTCACCTAACTTCCTAAAACCATGGGTCAGGTTAATTATAGAAATACCCCACGTTCCCGGTACTAATTTCTCACCTAACTTCCTAAAACCATGGGTCAGGTTAATTATAGAAATACCCCATGTTCCCGGTACTAATTTCTCATCTAACTTACTCTCTGTTGTAATAAATCTTCGACCCAAACAAAACAAAACTAATTTGGGGATGAAAGAATACATTTATTTGGCTTACTGCTCACAGCCCACCACTAAGGGAATCCAAGGCAGGAGCTCAAGGCAGAAAACTGGAGGCGGGAACTGAAGCAGAGCTCACGAGGAATGCTGCTTCCTGGCTTCTCCTCAGGCTCACATTCAGCTACTTTTTTTTTGTACAATCGAGGCCTATCTTCTTAGGAACGGCACCTCCCACAGTAGGCTGGGCCCTCCTATGTCCATAAGCAGGCTAGAAGCTGCCCCATAGACATGTCCATTGCTCAATCTGATAGGAGCAGTTCCTTGGGACTCATTTTCCCCAGGTATGCCCAGATTTGTGACAGAAACTATGATACTCTAGACTGGGCTGGGTTTGGACGTTCAATCCTTTTGCTTCAGCTTTCTGAGTTGCTAAGACTACAAGCCTGAGGCTCCAGGTCTGGCTATGCATCGATATTTTGCTCTAATCATCTGTGACGGATGTCAAAACCACTAGTTACTCATGGCGAATATTAGCACTTACATTGTGTGCCAGTAACTCCCTACTTACAACTACCTGCATTAAATTAAAAAACAAAAAAGATGTCATGTTCAGTTACGTGTACTTGAGTACGTATGTACTTGTGAGCACGGGTACCCATGTAGCCCGGAAGGGGACAGCACATCTTCCGGAGCTGGAGTTGCAAGCTACTTAATACAGGGGCTGGGAACTGGTCTTAGGTCCCCTGGAAGAGCAGCAAGTGCTCTTTGTGTCACATGACTTTAATCCCATCACTCGGGAGGCCGAGGTAGATGGATCTCTGTGAGTTCAAGGCCAGTCTGGTCTACAAGAGCTAGTTCTAGGACATCTGGGGCTGTTACACAAAGAAACCCTGTCTTGAAAAACCAAAATAAAAAAAAAGAAGAAAATCATGTTTATTTATTGTGTGTATGTGGTGCACACCTGTGCGTGTGTAAGACAACTTGTAGGTGTTGGTTTTCCCCTTATAGGTTCCAGTGATCAAACTTGGGCCATCAGCCTCATCACTATGTAACTAAACTCTTGAGAGCCTCCTAGTCCCTTTCCCATACTCTTTTTTTTTTAAAGTGATGCTAAAAAATTTCTACTCGTCTGTCAAGAATCTGTATAATCCTTTGTATACTGATGGCTTGTTTCTCACGTAAGCATCATCCATTGAGGGAAAAAAACAAAGCTATCAGTCCTTAATGAGTATGTAGTCCAACTCCTCGCTTGTTTTTCAGAACTGGAAGTGCAGCGAGTAATTTATCTTGACACATATCTAATTAGCTATGTCTATAATGTGGGTCTCCTTGCTTCTCAGATCCTGTTTTTCACTGCAACAAATGGTCAGATTTTCAAAGGCCAATTGGAGAAATTGGAGCGGAGGCAGGGAAGAATTATGCAAAGCAAGTTGCCTCTTGTCTCAATTACCGGAGTAAAAGCAGAGCAAAAAGAAACAGCTGGGATCGTATATTTTTCTTGTTATCTAATATTTTAGGAGCATTGTTTAAATATATCTGACTGCAGTTCACAGTAAGAAATGCAATTTAAATAACAGCAGGGAACATACTTTTACCCTGATTATTCATTTATTTTAAATACTGGGTCTTTATGAGTCTACGTAGTCCTGGAACTTGCTATGTATCACAGTCTGGCTTTGAACTCACAGAGGTCTGCATCTGTCTTCCAAGTGCAGACTACAGACATGGCCTACCACGTCCAGCTACTCAGAAAGTAATTTTTAATTTTTTTATTTATTTTTATTTTTTTTCAAAGTTTATTAAATTATGAAAGTTAGAAAGTAATTTTTAAAAAGGATTTATTTCTTTTGTATGAGTGCTTTGCTTGCTTGCACATGTCTAGAGACTGGGGTGGTCAGAAGAGGTGGGATTCCCTGGAACTGATGGGTGTGGGCTATCATGTGGGTGCTGGGAAGAGAAACCAGGTTCTGCAAGAACAACAAGCCTTCGCAACTGCTGAGCTCATCTCTCTGGCCTCCCACAAACTAATCTTCGCTCGGTTTAGATGTGATGCATTCTTATCTTCTAAATTATATTCTATTAAAACCTAATTCGTTAGAAAAAAATGAAAACTGGCTTTTCAGTTACAGTCTGACAGAAAAAACAAAAACAAATAACCAAAACCACCACCACCACCAGCAACGAAACCACACTGCTTCCTATAACAGGCGACATGTTCCAATCTGCTGACAAACTTCCTCACATGACATTACCCCACTAGAACAGCACTTCAGGGCAGTCTCGTTGTTTTTCAAATGTTGAAAAGATATCTGATTCAAGACATGTCTGAAAGATCAGGGGCCTGGCATAATTTGACTGGGCAGCAAGTTGCTCTTTCCTTGGGCAGCATAATGACCAAGCAAGTCTGTGATTCTACCGCTATGAGGTAGATCAATAACAGGCCAAACTCTGTGGCCTATTTATTCTGAAGTATCATTTGAAGATGATCCAAATGTCATCTGATTTCCTGTCCAGGAAATGTAATGGGAATTGTGTAAAATTTAAAACAAAACACACAGTTCTGAAGTAGAAGGGAAAGCAAGGAATTTTTATCACAGAAAGCTGCCTTGTTAGCGGGGCTGAGTGTCCTCTTTCTGTTCTGTACTGTAACTTGCTTTCCTCAGATGACCAACTCTACCCCGTGCTCTCATCAACTGGATGGAGAGGGGGTTCCTGGGGTCATGGTTTTAAAAAGAGCCAAAGATGAAGTGTACGAGTTGAGGTACTTAAAAATAAACTCAGGCTTTATTTTCAAATGGAGAGGTATTGCCAAGCTGCCACGTATTTGCTTTAACTGTCACCGATCTCACTGTAAAACTTAATGACCGTAAAAGCTGGCACGAGGATCCTGAACATGACTAGGAAAAAAAAAAAAGCCTGCTAGGCTATTTTCATCCCAGCGTGACCGAAATCCACGTTTCAAACCTTTTTTCAGAGGCACACAGCAAGTGAGAGGCCACAGTGAGCGTTCTACTGCGAACAGGAAGCAGCAGTTCCCAAAAGCTTTTCAAGTCATAATTTCGACTTGAAGCCTCCTCTAGGGCAAGCTGGGGATCTGGACCGAGCAGGAAGAAGGTCGGGAGGCGGGTCCTGATCGGCTCAGGTGAGGCCGGCCGGGTTCCGACCTTCCCCAAGGCCTCGCTCAGGGTACCAGCGGGCACCGAACCCTCGACGTCAGGGCTTCAGAAGGAGCACCCGGAGGCGAGGTGACCGCGAAAGCTCGACATCACAGCAAGGGTCCAAGCAACTGCCTCGGCGCTAGGCGCCCAGTCTGCAGCCGATACCCAGGCCCGCCCCCTTGCGGTGTCACGTGACGGGAAGGGGGCGTGGTGGGGAGCCGAGGCTGGGGGCGGGGCCGGGCGAGAGGGGGCGGGGCCTGGAAGGTGGCGGCTCGTGGCAGCTCGCGGCGGCCAGCGAGGCGGCGTCAAGG